GTAAACAAAAAAAAAAAATTTTTTTTTTAAAAAAAAGGTTTTTTTTTTTTGTTATTTAGCAATATCGTTTAAGAACTACACGCAACCTTTCTGGTGCAGAAAAAAATAGTCAAGTTAAATTTTAATAACAAATTTTCTTAGAAAGGAAGGGGAAAAGAGCAGTTTTTTTTCTTGCCAACTATTAATGTCAGCAAATTTTTTAACACTAATTACGCTGTTAGCTTCGTTGAAGAATTCGTAACTTATTCTTCATCTTTTCTTTTCTTTTTTCTTTGCTTCACTGAAAACAACTATATGGTTATGTTGCTTCATCGAAGTAAATGTTGAATTTCTTCTAAATAGCGGAAATGAGGCACTAATGACGAATGAACAGCGAACGACGACGATGATACTGACGATGGTGATGACAACGATAATGACGACAACGATGGTAACAACAAGAATTAATGATGCTTACACAACTTTTTAGAATTTCAAATTAAAATTAGAAGCTTTTTTTCTTCCAAAGACTTACGTTCTACTTCTCTTTTTTTAACAACAACTGTCTTTCTTTAATTTGTTTTTGCCAGTTTTAGCAGTTTAGAGAAAACTTTATAAACGTCAACAAAATGCCTAAACAAATGACAAATTTAGCGTATTCTGAGTACTTCGATACTTTTTTTTTGCCAAGTTTTCTGACCAAAAACAATATTACAGTATAACTTTCAATAAATTTTATAGAGATAACGTAATAAGTTCTTGTGAATCAATCACTAAACTTTAAATCCTATCTGTCTTAGATGGCAAAGAAAAAAATAAGTAAATACAGGTGTTTATTCTTTGTTCAATAGCTTATTCTTCTGTAAAAGATAGTCAATAAACCTCCCTGGCTGTTGGTGATCAACAGTGCTACAGAAGCATGACTACTGAGTTTTAGCCAAAGTCATACTAACCAAATAAAGTTTACTTTCAGTTTCGAAATTTTTTCTCCCACTTCTGAGAGTATTTAAAACATTAGATGTGTTCATCTCTTTCGGAAACCTCTTTGTAGAAGACAAGTTTGAAGAGGTAAATGTCTCAGATTTCAAATTTATAAATTATTACGTCATCTGAGACAGTCACAAATTTTAAAAAAAAAATTAAAGTTTAAAATTTGATACTCGTACTAAAGCAGGCTAAAAGCTAACAAAATTAGATCAATAACAGAACTAGTTTAGGTGAGGAAACAGAGACAATCTAACCACAGAGTTTTATTTAACTTTATATTTTTATTCTGTTAGTAGTGTCGCTGTTGTCGCACGAACCGTTATTTGACAAAAAATTAATAAAAAAACTAACAGCAGTAGTTTTAAGACTGACTTTACAGATTTTATAGCTTTTTGCACTCATCTTCGATATTACAATTAGTACATACAGATTATTTGATGGTTTGTTGACCTGATCTATCGTAAATATTTTGTCACTGCCCTCTAGTAAGTTTAGGTACTTCAAACTACTACAAAAACTCAAAAACTGTTAATTCTGTAAATAAACCACTGATTTGGAAATTTTATTGATGTATGCCACATTTGTTTTTCCACAATTTTACAAAATGTTGTAACTTTTGACGAAGTTTCGTTTCATCGAATACATTTATGCTGAAGTTATTATAAGAAGTTTTTAGCTCGACGATTTTCTCTTTCAGGTCAAAACTAAAACTGATAGAATGACAAAAAATGAGAAAAAAGCTGAAACCAGTTGTAAATAAGTATGCTAAATTTCAAGTTGCTTCAACGGGAAAACGAGGGACAACAATTCAATTTTCTATACAAATCAGAAGATCCGATAACCATTATAATTTTTAACAAGCAACAAAAAAAGAATCCATCTAAAAACCTTCTTCATTGCTAATTTTATAGAAATATTGCAAATTTCACTGGTCTCTTAAGTAAACAATGAAATTTATCATACAACTGATCACATCTTAGTGAAAAATCTATTTGTAATAGCTTTTTTGGGATTTGCCGAAACAATTCCCTTTTTTCTTCTCTTACCCCTCTTCCCTCACTCTCCAAAAACCGATATTGAACATGAAATATACGATTGCATCCATTATTTTGTATAACCATTAAAATTCGAGCAATTCTAATCATTAATGCTAGATACTAAAAAATAAAAATGAAGATAGGTTGGGAAATTGAATAAAAAATGTATAATATTATTCTGAAAAGTGTCACAGCAGTCACCAAACAAAGTAATGAATCAAAGAAAAACCTAAAATAACGGTAGAGAAACTAGATAGATAGTTTCACTGGCTGACTGTTAAGCTGATCAAAGTAACGAGCTTTAAATAAAAATCTAAAATTTGTGATCTACCACAGAAACGGTAATAATTTACTGAAAGCTTAACTGATTGTACTGATTAGTTGCTGAGCTACTGTTTGCCAGGATCGTTATTTATTCACCAAACTGTTCATATCCATTCACTGTTCGTTGCAAAACAGCATAAGAATTTAAAGTTAGAGGCTTCTATCAATACAAGAATAATGGTCTTGAACTTGTTATCGTTCCTAGAAGACATAGGTAATTTGTAGTTTTTTTTCATTTTTTTTTCTTTTACATTTCAAGATAACAGTGAAACTGTGATACTCTTGTTTTGCGCAAAACTACTGTTGCCCAAAAAACAGCAGTACTGTGATACAGATTTCAACAGCTTGCGGCCATTTTTTCTCTCTTCATACAAGCTTTTTGACTGTAAAAGAAATCAACAACTAAATCAACTAAAAAAAACAACCGGACAACTATTAAAAAAAGCTTCTAATAAACAACTGACTAAAACAGTTAAAAAAGAATTTGTTCTTGTAGGTAGTCAGTTTGATCAGAAATTTGGCTACGAATCCCAGAGACTAGCATTGCAGTAAATGTGATTAACTGCTTAGTCGTCACTTTCAAATAAAAGATATAAAATATAAAACAAGCAGATAAAGCAAAGAATTTTTTAAATGCTTTCACCAAAGAGGAAGTTGATGAGACATAAAATTAACTTAAGCCAAAGATAAATTAAGACTTTGAGAGGCAGTAAGCTAGTGTTCTCCGTTACCGTTTCAGAATAGTAAATTGATAAAACTAAGAGATTACCGATATATCTGAATAATATTTGTTTTAACAGTTCGAGAGTTCAATAAAAAAACTGGTGTTCCAAACCAAACAGATGTCTGTAAATTTGGTTTTTCTTGATGTTAAAGCTAGATGAAAATGCTTTTGATGATTACGAAAACTCTTCCTCTTTTGCTTTTTTCTCACTCTTCCCTTCTCTTTTTCTTTTTTTTTTTTTTTTTTTTTTTTTTTTT